GAGCTGAACCACACCACTGCTTGTTTGCTCACTGAAGGAGTTTCACTCATTGCCAGGGCCTGGGATCCTGACTGGCATTGGAATTCCGAGGGGAGGGGAACCTCCTGGCAAAGCACGTTCCAGAGGACACATGGGTGTGCATCATTTCACCTCTCAGCCTGACCCACAACTGTGCTGGAGCTGTTTCCAACAGGAAAGGGGGTTCACAGCTCCTGCCCCTGCTCCTGCTCAGCCAGACCTCCCCCCACAGAGGGAATCCAGCCCATGAGGCAGCTCAGCCGGGAGTCACAGCTTGGGCACCTGGAGAAGGGCCAGGTGGGAACAGCCAAAGAGTCACCAGAAATCCTCTCCAATGAAAAAATGACAGGGAGGAGGACAGCAAAGCCTGGATTGCCTAGAAATGGCTCCCTAGGCCAGATGAACGCTGAGGAGATGCCTTTAAATCCCCCTTCCAAGGCATTTTCCCCAGCTATCAACATGGAATTTACACAACAGTGATAATGTCACGCTGCAGAAAACAAAATGTCATTTCCTGAGCAATGATGAACTGGTATTTGGAGTCTCCTCTGATACAGAGAAAACGAATGGTAATTTCCCTGGGAGCAGAAGCCCCCGAGCTCCTTCCCCTGCTGCTGCAGAGGGTGGATTGCACCGAGTTACAGCACAGACAGCAAAACATCATTTAACTCTTGCAAATGGATCCGTCCTTCAGGAGCTGCTTCACGGTAACTGAGCAGAGCGTGTCCAATTCACAGGGATCAGGCACTGAGCACGTCTCAATGAACAGCTCCTCTGGATGGAACCTCCCAGCCAGCAAGCTGTGTGTGCCTGGGACCAGGAAACCTTGAATTATTAACAAACCAAGCTACAAGAACGTAACGTGCCTCCATACAAGTAGTTGCCACAAAGCTACAGGCAGGAACACTTAGTGCTGACAATATTTAACACCCAACCTATGCTTCCAATGGGAAAATCACCCTGCAGTGAGGATCTCGTTTATAGTGGCATTATCCAATATGAAACAAATCATGTTATCCTCACTTTAGAGCAGAGGGAAAGGAGGTGGAACCATCAGCGGGCGCCACAAAGGCTCAGTTGGGATCACGTCTAGACGTGTGGTGCTGTGGGAGAGGCCCTCGGGCACCCGAGGCATCGGCCCGGGGGTGGCAGATGTGACAGGGGACCCTTGGGAGCCGCTCTGCTCCCTCTCGGAGCGGCAGCTGGAGGCCACAGGAACACCCAGGGGCACCTCCGGCAGCTCCGTGCATCTGCCCGGGGCCGCTGAGCTGAGCCTGCGTGTGATCCCAGCTCTGACCTCCCCTTTCCTCCTCCCGAGCGTGGGATGGAGCGCAACAAGGTTGGCTCTCACCAGACCACTGCCCACAACAAATGTGCGGCAAGGGCAGAGTGCTGGCACCGTCCCCATGTTTGCAGCAGAGGTTTAAAGGCATTTCAGACCTTCTCGCTGGGAATTCGCTGTTAAGCAAAGGCTTCTGTGCCTAAAACCCCGGGAGCAGACGCTGAGCCGGGCCTGTGGCTGCTGGTGTGAGCTCAGCCAGTGGGAACCACGTGTTTGACGGGGTTAAGGGTCCGGGAGCAGCAGGAGCCCAGGCCCCGGGTATCCCTGCACTGGAACCTGTGCCAATGCAGTAGGAGCCCAGGTCCTGGTTATCCCTGCACTTTATTCCATGCCAATGCAGCAGGAGCCCAGTTCCCTGATATCCCTGCATGGGAACCCATGGTGAGCTTCAGGATGATGTTACCATTCCCAGGCATGGAGTTGGCAATGGAATCTGGGCTGTTCTCTGCTCCATTCACTTCTCCCAGACTGTGGAGCCTGTGGGCTGCTCGGGTGCCCTGGCAGTGGAGAAAACAGAGTTATCAGCGCTGGAGCTGCCCTGGTGACCGTCACCGCCCCGTCCTCACAGGCTCGGGCACAGGGCAGCTCTGTGCCCGCTTTCCTCTCGCTCCAGACAAACAGCTTTTGTTCCCTCCCAGCTCCCACGGAAAACGCTCCATCCCTCCTTTCCCGGGTTGAGGTCAGAGCGGCAGCGAGGGGACAGCGGGGACACTCACCAAAGCCACCCTGTGACAGCCCCAGACAGACACCGCGCCGTGCCTGTGACAGGAGCTCCTGCAGCCGCGGCTCAACTGGGGCAGCTAATGCAGCACAGTTCACTGGGCAGTGCCCGCATGCTCATCCATATGCAAACATGCAGATTTCCCCCCTCCTCGAAGTGCCACCCTTTCCGAGGCCTGATTTCCAAACTTTGTGGGTTTTCCCTTTTTTAATGCGATTGTTCTCGTCCCTGCACAGCAGTTCCCACGCAAAAGGCACAGCTAGTTCCATGCCGACCCTTTTTTCCTACCAACCAGAGTCAAATACATAAAAATTCCAAATTGTGGCTCTAAGACAAACCACTAAACATCCCTCTCCCTCCCTCCCTCCCATATTCTATTGCTGGAAAAAAAGAAGCCATCTCAGACTGGAGTAATCCACTGGATTTAATAAGATTTTTTTTTTTCTCCAAACCCCGAGAATGTCACCACAAATCCAAGTTCCATCCAGTATTTTTTGTGCCAAAGTCTCTCCTGGACGTTTATTTCAGAATGACCTTCACATTAAGCCAAAGCAAGAGTATTTTAAAGCAATGCAGATTTCATTTCTTCAAAAGGAAAGATCAAGTCTGATGCTCTGGAATCGACCACAGCCAGAACAGGGAGCTGTGACAGACCCCACGACCAACACACGCTCAGCTTCCAACAAAATGTGCACTTTCAACACAATCAAAATAAAATAAAAAGCAACAATACAAACAGCTCCAGTACTTGGCATTTTCGGAGTGGAATATTCTGGAGACTCTGTTCACTATCAGGGATTTACTGGGTGGGCAGAGGCTCATGGGACTGACCTGAGGCATTCGTGTGGGGGATGGCTCAGATCATTAATTGGGAAATAACACAAACAACAGGGAGCAGTGGGTGGGAACCTATTTCATTTTAATCCATTAATAGGAAATCGCTGCAGTTTGGGAAGAGAGCAGTGAGGGGAAGGATTTTCCCTGCTTTCACTGGTGAAAGCTGTTCCCAAAGCACCACATGGGGTTAGGGCAGCGTCACTTGTTTGGGACAGTGAGAACCACCCCAGTGCTGGGTATGAGTGGACTGCAGCCACCAGCCCTGCTTATCTCCAGGCTCCAAATGTCTCCCTCATACTTCCAGACATGTTTTCCACCCAGCTTCCCCACCACACTCACAGCTCGCTCTGACAGAGCCTCTGTGCTTCTCTTCAGGCCCCTGTTTAATTAGAGGAGCCCTATTAATGCATTTCCGCTCACCTGCACAGCCCAGTCCCATCTCATGGGCTGTCCCTGCCCACATCCCCTTGCTCTGTACCTCCTGTGTCACCTACACTTCCTCACACACATCACCCTGGCACTTTGCCTGAAATCAGCGGCTGTTGCTGCCTGGGGTTAGTGCTGGGCCAAGGGCGGGGCAGCCAGTTCCCTTCCCAGAGCCCCCACAGCCCCAGAGGGGCTCACAGAGGGGCTGTGGGGGCTCTGGGCACTCCAGAGGCTCTCCAGATTGCTCAGGGATAGTCGGGATCCACTGCCTGGTGAGCCAGAGGGAAAACACACCAAAACAACTCAGCACTACAGCTATTTTCAGCAAGTGCTCGTGCAGAGGGGACAGCAAGGACATGCTCCTGTCCCTTGGTGGGAGTTTAACGAGGAGCCTCTGTGAGGGTGTCCTGAAGGATGGGAATGGAGCAGGGATTTATCTGAGCCTCACTCCTCACTCTTCCCAGGTTGCCCAGAGAAGCTGTGGCTGCCCCATCCCTGGAAGTGTCCAAGGCCAGGTTGGATGGGGCTTGGAGCAACCTGGGCTGGTGGAAGGTGTCCCTGCCCATGGCAGGGGGTGGGACTGGGTGGGCTTCAAGATCCCTTGAACCTGTGATTCCTGTGATTCCAGGATCACCATCCTGTGATTCCATGACTCCCAGAGTCCTGCTCCTGACCCAGCTCTGACGAGGGACTGAGGGCTGAGGTAGCCTCGGAACACAATGGTCCTGCTTGAAACAGGTCCCCAAAATGCACTGAAAGGCCTGAAAACCTGACAGCAAAAAGGGAGAGCAGCAAGGTCCCAATCCATTATCAACAGCACAGAAAGCAGAGACATTTCTCAGCGTGTCTCCAGGACGATCGTGGCTCCCTGCCAGAAAGACAGAGCCGAAGGCACCGTCCCGCACTCCCCTCCCGCTCATTGGAAATTCCAGTTTAATGCCAAAGCCACGGAATGCCACGGCAGGCTGGGCTCTCAAGCAGAAAGCTAAATTGTACATATTGCTCTGTCTGAACTGAATCCCTTGGACAGAACAGGGGGAAGAGGGGTCTGGGATAAGGCAGAATCATTGATATTTGGGAAGGGCCTTATGGAACTCCCCCAGACAGCTCCTGTGTGCCGGCTCCTGGGAGAGGGAGAGCAGAGCTGCCAGGACTCCACCTGACCAGATTAGTTTGGCAAGGGCAGGGATCCTCCCCAAAAGGTTCCACTGTCTGCCCTTGTTGTTACACAACAAGCCTCACAAGTTTCTCCTCCCATCAATATCACAGAAACACATGGAATTACTGAATCCAGTCATTCCTATTCAGGTTTTTTTTGGATGTTTTGCAGGACTTTGAAGTGCCTCTTCCCTCCTGTTCCACAAAGTGTGCAGGGAGGTCTGATCCCTCTCCACCTCTGGCACTCCTGCTCTCGACACACACATACACACATTTTTTCCTGTAAGTCATTTTCTACAGGGGGAAAAAACCTGTGGGACATAGGAGTTTATAGGATGACATTTCCAGTTTGCCAGCAGCACATCATTTTAGTAAAGGGCAGAGTCAGGAGCACCATGAACAGTTTCCCAAATATTTCCCCACCCAGGGGCTGCCCAGAGAGTGGAGGCTCCACGGTCTGGACATTCAAGGCACTTTAGAAACGCAGCATAAAAAAGTTTTATAAAAAGTTTTACTCGGAAAACAAGGAAGAACAACGACATAACTGCTGACAACAATAATAAAATTAACAAAATGCTAATTAACGGCTACCCATGGCCTTGTCCTGGTCGATATAAAAAGTGTAACATCAGATCCAGTGTACAAATACAAAAAAAATTGTGCATAATAAATGTACTATAATACTGTACATACAGTATAAACCGTTCAATGAGAATGAATTAAATATACCTATTTGTCTCCTGACTTGGAAGACAAAAGAATAAAGTTCTATAGTCCCAGAGTCAGTGTATAAACCCTCTCCAGGGGCTGCATCACTAGCCAACGGTATCCCTGAAAATAAGCAGAGTCAAATATTCCCTTAATGGAAGCCATTATTGATGGGGCTGCTGGTTATTATGATAAACTAGGAGAGAAAACCACAGCACATCAACTCAGCCAACATTAAATCCAGACCGAGTTCTTCCCATCTCCTGACTTGCTACTGGCACTGCTTTTGTTCGAGCCTGCTTTGGACTTCTTCCCTCTGGAACTGCCGGGGTTGTTTTGGTTGTTGTAGGCCTGGATGGCGAGGTCCAGGCGGTCCTGAGCCACTTTGATTTCCCTCTGCAGGATCTCCAGGTCGGTGGGGATGTTGCCCTCGGTGCTGCCGTACTGCTGCTCCTGAGCTATGTTGGCTTTGTTCTGCTTGTAGGCCATCTTGGCGTTGGACAGCTCCGTGCACGGCATCTGCTCCGGCTTCAGGGCGATGTTGTACCCGGGGGGAGCCGACGGGGTGTTCCAGGTGAACGGGTAGTTGAAGGTCCCAGAGTCCGCCAGCTCCTTCCTCTTGCTGTTGAGTGTGTCCCGGATGGTGCCCAACCCCAAGTGCAGCATCTCCCAGACATTCAGGAGCAGGCACATGCAGCTCACCCCGTACATTATCAGCAGGAAGATGGTCTTCTCGGTCGGCCTGGAGATGAAGCAGTCGACTCTGTGCGGGCAGGGCTTCCTGCTGCACACGAACACGGGGCTCACCTGGAAGCCGTACAGGAAGTACTGCCCCACCAGGAAGCCAACCTCGAACAGGGCCCTGGCCAGGAGCTGCAGCACGTAAATCCTCATGAGCCCGTCCTCCCGGATCTGCCGCCGGCCGTCGTGCTTGGCCTTGGCGGGGCTCTGCTTCTCCTTGCTCTCCCGGACACTCTCCACCTCCATCTCCGGGTACATCATCGGGTCTTCCTCGTGGTCGCCCTCAGCCTCCTCCAGGCCGCGGTGCTGCTTCCAGCGGATGGGCAGGCTCCTCCTGCGGCCCCTCCTCCCGGCCTCGCCGTGCTCCACCATCCGGGCGATCTTGTGGATGGCGTAGCCCAGGTACAGCACCGAGGGAGTGGCCACCAGGATGATCTGGAAGACCCAGAACCTGACGTGCGAGAGGGGGGCGAAGGCGTCGTAGCAGACGTTCTCGCAGCCCGGCTGCTCCGTGTTGCACACGAACTTGCTCTGCTCGTCGTAGTAAATGGACTCTCCCCCCACGGCAATCAGGACAATCCGGAACACAATCAACACTGTCAGCCAGATCTTGCCAACAAAGGTCGAGTGGTTCTGGATCTCCTCTAACAGGCGGGTCAGAAAGCTCCAACTCATGGTGGTCAAGTGAGTTTATCTAAACAAACAAACAACCCCCCCAGATTTTTATCAGTTTATCAGCTTGAGCCTAAGCAGTGCAAACACTCAACCAAGAGAGTCTGAAAACTCCACACTTTTACACCCAGCACCCATCCATGTCTGTGACATCACCTGTTATCGGGATCCTGCTGCCAGAACTTGCTTGAAGATCCTACGTCTCCTCTGCAGGCCTTTGAGGAGTCTGCTGGGAGAAAAAGTAGCAGTTTAGTGACATTTCACAGAAAAACGTGCTCCCAAAGCTACTCTCCAGCCAAAGAGAGAGACACACGTGCTCTGTAAGGCACCACCTTCAGAGGAAAGATTTTTTTTTAATACTTGATCTAAACCTACTCTCTCTCAGTGGGAAGCCATTGTCCTGTCCCTCCAGGTCTTTGTCCCAAGTCCCTCTACAGCTCTCCTGGAGCCCCTTTAGGGACTGGAAGGGGCTTTCAGGTCTCTCCCAGAGCCTTCTCTTCTCCAGGCGAACCCCCCCAGCTCTCCCACCCAGGCTCCAGAGCAGAGGGGCTCCAGCCTTGTGAGGGTGGAGAGGCCCTGGCACAGGTTGCCCAGAGAAGCTGTGGCTGCCCCTGGATCCCTGGAAGTGTCCAAGGCCAGGTTGGACGGGGCTTGGAGCAACCTGGGCTGGTGGAAGGTGTCCCTGCCCATGGCAGGGGGTGGCACTGGATGAGTTTTAAGGTCCTTTCCAATGCAATCCTATGATTCCATGACAAATTTGCAACCCTAGCAATAAAAAAACCTATCCATGGAAACTCTCATCTGGCAACACTGCAAAAAAAAACCCCCACCAACCTTCCAAGCCCATGTGGAGCTCCAAGGAGTGAAAATGGTAACACATGGAGCACTGGAAGAGCTGTTGGACACTGTTATAACACAGGGGATGAGACATCTTTCAGAGCTTTGTTGATGTCAAATATCAGTTTGTCAAACATTATCAACAGAAACTTTTACAACAGAACATTTGGTGAAAGATCCTAAACCCAGAACTGGACAAATCTCCAGCACTCTGATCTTAAAAGGGATTTATTCTTAACCTGGAGAAATTTCAGGAGACTGGAAGAAAACTAGGAACTATTCAACTTCTTTCACACAACCAGAGTTGTTCACAAGTAAAATAATGAAATGTGAGGGGATGCAATCAATGCAGAATTAAAGGATGTAAATGTAATCCTCCTCTGGTGGAATTCAATGTTTTTAGCCAACAGCAGGGACATGGTGTGGATGGGCTGTGCAGGACATTTGATCTATCACTTCATGGCACTGAGAGAAAAAAATAGCACAGGAGAGTATTAAAAAAAGACCACATTAAGTGGATCAAAAGTAGCCAAAGTCTTGACAAATGATTCCCACATTAGATCCAAGATCAGTCCCATAATGCACAGCCCAGCCAGGCCTGGTAGGCAGGCTGGATCTCCCCAGGCTCAGCTGGGAAGTGGTTGCTGACAAAATGGGCACATGGACACAAGTTTGTAGGCTTAGAACTGGAGATGAGTTACCAGTGAAACAGGAAAACATGGATTGCTGGAGAGGCTGGAAGAGATCCACTGCTTAAACCACGCTCAGTGCAAAGCTGCAGCTCAGACCAGCACAGGGAGAGGGAGGCTGCTGTGGATGTCAGTTCACAGGGAAGGGAGGGTCCTCAAGGATAAGGGTCTCAATAAAAGCTGGTGATGCAGCCAAGGTTGAGGATGTGAGCCCTGGCTGTGTCACCTGCAGTCAGGAGCAGGGAGGGTGAGCTCACCTCCTTGTTAGCGAGACAGCCCTCGGCGCCCGCGGCCGCATCCTTCAGCAGTTCCTCAGACATCAGAGGGCGAACACGGGGGGCTCAGACCCAGCTGAGGGACGGGGAAGGTGCCTGAAAGGGAGGCATTTAGAGAGCTCAGTTTGTTTAGCTGGGAAAAATGGGAAGAAAATGGAAGGAATTACAGATGAATCTCAATACCAACAGGCTCAGGATCATAACTGTCATCAAAATTATCAACTAAGGCAAAAATCACTGGCTTGACTCAGGTGGACAGGCCACCTGCACTTAATCCTGAAAAGGGCCATGTATAATTTAGAAGTGTTTGATAGACAGCAGCTATTAGAGGTGCATGCAGTCCTGCCAAGGTTTCCACCAGAGCTCTTCCTCCTACACAACACTGATGCCCTTGTGCCATAGAGAACTGGCAGAAATAACATGTTTTTAGCAGGAAAAAAAGAGGAGAGGTTCCAGTCCCAGTGCAGTCCCTCTCTGCACCCTTATTTCAGACATCCAAGGCCAGCTCTGCCTCTCTGAGTTCTGCATTAGTGGGACAAGAGACAGTGCTTCAGACACCCCCACGCTCAGCATTTCCCACCTGGATTTGGGGGCAAACGGGACAGGCACGTTCCTGCTGACATGCCATGATTTGTCAACTAAAAAAGGAGACAAAACCCAAAGGAGTTTAAGAAGGGGTTAATTTTCTCTCACTGAAAACATTAGGGCTCTGAAAATAAACTACTAAGTAAATTTTAAATTAATTAAATGCTGTTGCCAATGTAAATTTGGAATAACAGCAGGAACCAGTCTTTAAATCCTCAGATACTGTCACATTCAGTTAACAGCAGAGAAGTTTGAAATGAGTGCTGGTTTCAGTAAGAGAGTCTTTACTTTTAGACAAGCTGCTACCTTATCATCAAGGAAACCCCTTTGTGTCACGTGCCAACTTTTCATGGTGTGTTTTCTACCTGCAGACACATTCCTGAGGCTGGGCTGTTCCTCAGCAGCTGTAAAGAGGGAGACACAGGGATCATCCCTTGGCCACCACCCAGCCACTGGAGGGCATGAGGCACCTGGGTCGTTTGGGACTTGTCCAGGAGGATTCCCAACCTGGTCCCACCAGTTATAACAATGCACAGAGTGCCAGAGCCTCTGTGTACAGACCCTGCCCACACAGACACGTGTGCTGGGGTTCCCTCCAGCCCTCAGCTGCAGTTGGCATTATCTGACCTGCTAATTGACCTCTGTCAATTAGCAGGTCCTGGCTGTGGAGCTGCAAAGCTGCTGAAGAGCTGATTCTCTTCCCAATAAAGTGCCACTTAGTCTAAATTTAGTCCTAGTCCCGAGCAGAGTGGTGGCCTGAACATGGGAGGACCCACCAGCAGGCAAAGAACTTCCCTGTCTTTAAGGAAACATTTTGGCCCAAGCAAAATGACCAGTCATTAAACTCTGCTATCCCAGGTTCAGTCTATCCCAATTAAATGCCATGCAAAAACAAGACTCCACAAGCAGAGTTATGGCTTGGAAGTGGTGTTATCCTTCAGATTTGTGGGATCAGCCAAGGTTAGAGAAGCACATTCTGCCTTTGCACCATGTGCTGCAGCACCCAGACACATCACGGTAACCTTCACCCAACCTACACTCGTGTCTCCTGCCTCTGTGGTTCTGGCAATATTTAACTCAATAATTTTCCAATGTTTGAAAGAAAGGTTTATGGACACTGACACGCATCCCAGAAAGGCAAAATGTCAGCAATTTCAGCTAATTTAAGTCATGCCAGAAAGTGCATTTGAGGGAGATTTTCATTCCCTGTATTTGTCATAAATTCATTCCAGCACTTCCAGCAGAGGAGGCTCCTTGGAGCAGGCAGGATCCACAAACACCAGACACTTATCTCTGACAGCAAACTGGCTCCTGAATTAAAGCTTTGCAGGTGCTGACATCCAGAGACAAAGAAGAATTTGGACTAGGTACATGAGAAAAATCAGCTTTCCCTGCAGAAAAGCTCTGGAGCTGTTCAACATGGCTGTTGTTCAGGTACAGCCAGGGAACAGTCCCCCAGGTGTGCCCCGTCCCCTCCCCAGCCCAGGGTGGGCTTTGGGTATGAACTGAAACATTTCAGATGTTCCAGCCATGTCCCCATCCTGCTGGGATGGAGGCACCTGGAAGGCAGCACCACACACACCAGATGGGGGTTAAAACCAACCTCACTCCAGGCTGTCAAATCCCAAACGCCCTCAGAACCATCTCCCGATCTTGTCCCAGTACAGCCTGGGTCCTAGTCCAGTATAAACTGGATCCCTGATCCACTCCCAGCACAGCCTGGGTCCTAGCCCAGTATAAACTGGATCCCTGATCCACTCCCAGCACAGCCTGGGTCCTAGTCCAGTATAAACTGGATCCCTGATCCACTCCCAGCACAGCCTGGGTCCTAGCCCAGTATAAACTGGATCCCTGACCCACTCCCAGGGCAGACTGGACCTCAGCTCAGTACAGACTGGATCCCGTGGCCATGTGTCAGTAAAGACTGGCCCATGTCCCAGTACAAACTGGATGTCCTGGCCTCATCTCAGCACAGACCGGGCCCAGCCCAGTACACACTGGGTGTCCTGGGCTCCATCCCAGTACAGACTGGCAGCTGCAGCCCAAAGCACCTGAGCAGGAGGGTGCAGGGAGTTGTGTTGGTTTGGTTCAGCACTAGGCAGCGCTGTGAGGATCAGGGAGTTGGACTGGACCATCCTTATGGATCCCTTCCAGCCCAAGTTCTTCTGTGATGCTTCTCTGACACCAAGATTCAATTCCTGTCATTCCTTGTCATTCCATCAACAGTGGGGCTGGGCACAGCCTCAGTATGTCCATGGATGGCACCACAGTTCACCAGCACCTCCTCAGAAAGGTTTGTCTGCAGGAGGTTTTGTAGCCCTGAGGCAGTTGTTAAGGAGAATCAATATATTTAGAGAAGACTTTTCTCCCCCTTAGAATATGTCCTCGTATTCATGTAAATGAAATTTGATTAATTTATTAGTGATTTATTTGGTTTGGTTTGGTTTTAAGCAGTTTAAAAAGACATGTGCTGAGCAAGAAAAAAAAGAAGAAGAAATGCATGGCAATTCTGTTGTTAATCAAAAGAGGTTTCATGCTGCATGAAAGTGAAATTGGGCCCATAGGCTAATTAAAATAGGATTTGAATTAGGATGAATGAATAATTAGCATTATTCATTCAAATCTCATTTACATTGAAAAGTAAGAAACTACATGATTTACAAGTACTTTTGAGGAAGCAGAGAAGTTCCCTTTTTTTTTTTTTTAACCTGGAAAATGAGTAAGACTTTATTGCTGGGGTCAGACTCAGCACCAGCAAGGGACCAGCACATCCCAAATCCTGGCGAGCACTGTGCTGATGCCACCTGCATTCCATGAGCAGCAATTCCAGTGTCCATCCTCCTAAGTGACACAAGGGCGAGGATGTGGGGGTATTCCCAGGAATACCTGGGCTAAGACAACTCACAGCCATCACCCTTCTATCCTTTGTGAAAGAAGTGGGCTCAATCACTACCAACTTCCCTCCTGTTTTCAGCAACACAGATGAAAAAGAATAAGAAAATTGTACTGAGTTTTATTTTTAATCTTACAGAGCACTTGGGAAGGAAAAAGGCTGGGACTTTTTGGAGAGCACACAGTGCTCTTTCAAACAAATCCTCTGTCAGCTGGCAGGGCTCACGTGGCAGCAGCAGAGAAGGGTTTGGAAAAAGCCACAATGTCAATGTCAATTTGGAAACCATTTCTGAACGGTGCCTTCCAATCCCAGGCAGGATAACAAGGCTCTGCTGATCCCCAGACCAACCCCCCGAGCCTGAAAAACCCCCCGCTGAATCCCGAGACCACAGATCCAACACGGGATATAAATAGAACAGGAAAATATGGGTAAGAGGTAGGGATATAATAAGATTCTTGCGCTGTCAAAAAAATAAAGATGTCAAGAACGTATCTCTTTGAAAATCAACATATACCCACCCGAGCATTCAGCTCACAGATAAACTGGAATTTGCAGCTCAGACATGAACCTCCGGCCGCCTCGGCGTGCCCTCAGGTACTGCTAACATGGGAAGCCAAGTGACAATTTTAGCAACACTCCCCCGCAGTGACAAAATTCAAATGAAAATCACGACGTGTTTCGTGCTGGCCCAAACCAGCTCTTACTGCACCTACAGCAACCACAGTGCTCCGGGAAGCCTCGTGTCCAGGGCAGACCCCCCGGAACACGTGGATCCCAGCTTGGAAGAGCAGGGTCCGTGAGGACAGGGCGAGCTGTGAGCCTGACTCGAGGCTCCATGGAAAATGGAGGCTGGGCTGTACAGCCTCTGTCACCCCGTGAGATTCTGGAGACCTGTGGCGGGGTCTGTGTCAGCCTGAATCCCTTCACACACGCTCGGCAATCAGAGTCCCTTTGAACGACGGGAATGAGCTGTACCAGCTCAGAGCTGGGCACTTCTGCAAGGACTCGGGGCAGAGCTGTGTGACACCCAGCAAGCCCGAGGCTGCTCCTCACACCTCTGCTGCACACTCCAGGTATCAGGAGGCAGAGGGAGCCCCAGGTGCCGCCAGCACTGTGCTGATGTGAAATGTAATAAAGGAGAGAACCAAGCGGTCCCAGACGCCGTCTGACAGCCCGCAGGGAAACCCCCACTCCCCGAGGCAGCCTCGCTCACACCAACGTGGCATCGTGCCAGACCTCAGGACCAGCACCGTGCCAGGATGGAGCCTGGAGCAGCAACATCCCCCCTCCTTCACAACCCGCTGGTGGATGAGGAATAACCCAGCAAGGGAAGGGCTGCTGGAGCTCAGAACCAACCCGGCGTCTCCAGAGCTCTCCCTCTCTCCTCTCACCTCCTCCCCCCTCACACACCTCACAGCATTTCTCCAGCACAGTCCACAGCTGAAGGGTCTGGAGTCTCCTCCACACTCCCTGTCTCCCAATAAGCCTGGTAAATGTAAATATTAAGGAACAGAAATCCCATGTGATCCCTGCTCAAAACCAGCTCAGGAATGTGCAGCTTGTACCACAGATCATATCCCCCAGCCCCTAAGAGGGAGTGGCTCATTCGTCCCTGTGGAGGAGCTGGGAATGCACAGGAAAACTCTTTCCCTGTGTCTTTCAGTTGGATGTTGAAAACAAGGAATTACAGGGTAGGTAAAGAACAATTTTTTTTTTCCAAGATTTTGAATCTAAAGCTCAAGCCATACTAGAGAAACCACCTGACACTGCTGTTCTGTTTAACCAAACCCTGAGCTCTGGGACTGCCAGCCCAGGCTGTCTGCACACAACAGGGCCAGGGCCTGCTATTTGTACCCTTAAAATCTAAAGATCTGGAGGACATCCTCGAGACAGAGTGTTCCTACCAGCTGAAATGACCATCAGGCCGGGTGAGTGTGGCCTCAGGTGCACACAACACTCCCAGCTGTGAGCTGCCACAGAAGCCCAGAGTATTCTGAGTTGGAAGGGACCCACAAGGCTCACCGAGTCCAACTCTTCACCCTGCACAGGACCACGTCAGCTCCCTTTGTTCCACACCACGGGGATCCTGCAGGCTTTTCCACAAGCTGCTCATGTACAGACAGCACTCACCTCCCAGACACTGAGTTCTCCTCCTGAGGAGCTGCTCCCAGACACCACCTGATGAGACACACGTGCTCCTCAGCTCAGGGCTACTAAAGCCTGGCTCAGCCACACGACACGTTACCACTGGCTAAAATACTTCCAAGGTCAAACACAGCAAACACCCAACCAGCCCAGTGCAGAGACAGCTCCTTTGTAAGGGAAGAGCCACCCATTTACTTGAGTCAGTCACTTATATTCTGAAGATGCTCAACCCTTGTACCCATATGCATCACCATCAGAAATGTGCAACATTCCCATAACCAGTAGTTTAAACCAGAGTCAATCAGAGCAGGTTGGCAGGTCCATGTCCAGTTTTAAATATCTTCTGTGAGGCCAGAGACCTCACAAGCTCTCTGGGCATCTAGATCCTATTGAACATCTCCAGGGCTGGAGACCCCACAAGCATTGAAAAGTAAGACTGGGCAGCCTGATCCTACTGCATCTGACCATACTCACAGTATAAAAAGCTTTTCTTATGTTTAAGCAGAATTTTCCCTGTTTCAATCTGTGCCCATCACCATTCCCTGGGTACCACAGAGACCAGTCTAGGACAAGAGCAAGGGCAGCAAAGCAATTTCTCCTGTAAGAATGAACATAACAGAGCATGACCAAGTTGCAGGGACTAGAACCACACAGGCAAAGTGAAACTCTGACCTGAGATCTTCCCCCTCCCAGTGCCCACCCCTGCCCAACGCGCCCTGCACAGCACTGGCACGATATAAAAGAATATATTATTAAAATACTAAAAATATCATGCTGCTGCCTGCTGCACCTGTGCTCCCAGTGGTTACTCTTACAAATATGGGCGATGGAAGGATAAAGATGGAAAAAACACAGCAGGAAGGATGACAAAAGGCAGGTCCTGAGTGACCAACAGCAATCCAAGCGGGAGTGCGATGGAGCAGGGCCGGGGTTCCTGCACACACCAGGCATTAAATCCCAGGATTCAGCTCCTTTCAGGATGCACTCGCCAGCCTGGGAAGAGTGGTGGGAAATAGCAGGAGAGTGTCCTGCTGCAAACTCTGCCTGTGTGGGCAGGCCCAGCACACAGGGATACACCTGGGGACACACAGGGAACGGGAGCACCTCGGCCTACCCAAGACCCCAGAGCTATGGACAGACACCCACTCTGACCCTGAGCACTGCAGACACACAAGAACAACTGTATTTCAAGTGGAAAATCACAGAACACACAGGAAGTGGAAGGTCCAAATGGAAGAACAGAGAACACCCAGGTACCACTGCGTGTTGCACACCCCACAAAACATGCACTGCTGGGGAACTGCCTTTGGACAGGCTGGAGCACCCATGTGCTTACCTGGGTCCCTCCAGCTCTCTGGCAGCGAGGTCTGGGAAAGGCCATCCTCACTCCCATACAGTTCCAGTCAGGCATCAGAGAGATGTCCCTGCCTTGATGTGATTAGCAACTCGAATAACCACAGCACCCTTTTAACTACACCCCAGTCCACTGCAGCCAACAGCTCCACAGCGTTTCCCCACCGGGCTCCTCCTCTTCGCTCGGAGGGATGAGTGTCAAAAGAAAATGACACACTGGAGGCAGCTGACCCGAATATCACTCTCCCGGCCATTTCGGGAAAGGAGAGAGAAGTCAAAAGAGAGCAGTTCTGTCGGCTCCTGTACGTCAAAGGCTCTCACTGAGCGGGAGGCAGCCGGGTGGGGATGAACACCTACTGCTCCCATCACCATCTTACAACAGCCAGGAGAACCACAGCAGTGTTTGCTTCAGAGATAAGCCTCACAAACTAGCACGAACAGCTTGAGAGTGAAAGGGATACCGCGCACCACGGCGCAGCCTGGGCTGCCACGGCGTCCCCAGTCACCCACCCCGCACCACGGCAGCTGCTCCTCCCTGACCCACATTCAAAAAAAAGACTTCTATTCCCCAGCTCTGTCATCTGGTCTAGTAGGAGCCACCTCCTCAGCCTACAACTCCACCAAATCCATGGCACATTTCCTACAACAGCAGCTCTGCAGAGAGGGAAGGATGTTTGGAGGCAGAGGAGGGCACTGCAAACCCTCACCGCCAACTGCTTTTCCAGCCATCCAGTACTTGGAACTGCTGCACTAAACCCTGTCAGGATTGTCCCTGAGATGAGACATGGAGGACCAGAGAGCTTTGCAGACCCCTGTGACCTCACCCAACTGTGCATGTCTGGGTGGAGAGCACTAAGGTGAGGAGGACGGTGGCCAGCCGTGCCAGAAGGCATCTCCTCCCTGTTCGCCATCGGTGCGTCACAACAATCCATGAGGATGGGGCTGGGATGGACAGCCAAGGACAAGGGGTCCACAACGACAAACCAGCACCTCACTCACTCTCCTGGTGCTTCAACTTCTCCCAAGCGCTACCAAACTGCACAATTAGTTGGAGAGTTGTGTTTGAATACACCAGTTTTACACACAGTTTATTTTGAGTCGAGGAGCAGAGTAAGTCAGAACAGATTGCCACACTGGCATTAAAATGCTGCTCCAGCTTGAGTTCAACAGGAGTCTTAACAGCTTTATTTTGCCAAAGATAAAATTCAGAATATAAATACGCACATAAATTCACTAAGTGACTTATCTGTTGAAAAAAACACTTATTTCATATAATAAAATAAGAAACCTAAACCCGTCATTTTCTGAGAGACTTGACTGCTTTGAGACCCCCCTGGGAAGAGACCCGAAGCACTGACTGAACTCCCTATGCCCCATCACCCCAGCTGGGGAACACACACACCAACTGGGGCTCTTGTCTCTGAGAATAGCTGCAAATAACTCCCATTTCATGAGAGGAAGCTGGGAGCTCTTTTCCCAGTGACAGGCACACTGCACCAAGCACACAGCCGGTCAGCTTTTTCCACCTCACTGCTTTCCATGGCCATGAATTTTATCAGACTTATTATCAACACAGATTATGACAATTAGCAGCAAATTTTAGGCAGTCAGCCTCCCAAAAGCACGGAAAGTGCTTAAGCCAGACAGGAGGCTTGATGGGAGAGCACCAACAGGACCAGGGCATGGTATGTACCATGTTTTGGTGCTGCTGGAGGTGGGAAAAGCCCACTGAGACACTGCAGGAACAACTGTGGGCACAGTGACAGTGCCAAGCTTCCCCTGGTTTCTTAATTCCAAGCCTCCAAGACTTTAAGAGGGTGATTACATCTTGTTAGTCACCAAGTGGACTTCATGCTGGTTCTGTGGATGCTCCAAGCCATTCCCCTTTGTCCTGTCAATCCAGGTCCTTGTCCAAAGTCCCTCTCCAGCTCTCTTGGAGCCCCTTTAGCCACTGGAAGGGGCTCCAAGGTCTCCCCAGATCCTTCTCTTCTCCAGGCCAAATACCCCCAGCTCCCCCAGCCTCTCTCCACAGCAGATCTGTTCCAGCCCTCAGACCATTCCCCTTTCAGAATCAAGTTCATTCCTTAATGCTACTAAAAGAGATGAAAATGTCACCCAGGGAAAATGATGTGACTTCTTTACACTCCTACTCACAGAACCAGGAACAGCCCCAGGCTCCTCCCCAGCCCCTTCCTCTGGGACTCACTGGGAAACTGGTTTCCACTGCAGGGACTGGAGAGGAGGTTACAGAATAAGGAGCCAAAATGAGGAGTCACAGCTGGGAGGGCTGGGTGGATTCACCAGAGATGGATCCCCAGCCTGGCTACAGCCACTGGCACTGTTGTGTCACCTCTGCAAGACAAGGGCTGTGAAGAAAATCCCAGCAAAGTGCAGCTCCCCAAAGCCAATGGGACTAATGAGACAATCTCATACAGAGCAGAATCAGTGGCAATGGATTGTCTGTGTAAGCACAGTGTTCAACGGGGCTTCTGCAAAGGCACTTCCAACCCCACAGAGGGCCCCAGACCACCGGGGTTTAACCTCTGCGAGTCCCTCTCACCAACGGCTTCTCGAAGGGACCCAAGAGGCCACTGGAAAAGTGACCATCCCCTTCACAGAGAGAAGACACGGGAAGAGGAGTAAATGGCCATTTCCTGCACGGGAAGGAGGTCAGAGCAGGGACCACAGGAGAGGTTGGGATCTGTGCCACACCAGGACATTGTCTGAGTGCACGCAACAGTGAGTGGGTGGGATGTGACCAAGGATCCTGCTGGCAATATTCAAGGTGAGGCAGATAAACAACCACAAAGAGCAGCACAGGGACACACGGGTCTACGCAACCTAGTAATAAAATGGCAGATGGAATTCCACATGGATAAAGTGATGCATACATGGAATAAACAAAATAAATCTCGATTTCACACTAAAAATAAATGTGCCCTGAGATGGCCTCAGCGAGCAGGAGGTCTTGGGGCTGTCAGGCTGCTCTGTGAAAGCTCCAGCACAGCCAACAGCATTTCACCAGTGTGAGAGGACAAGCACCCCAACAGCACACGCTGCCACATGCCCTGAGTGCCCCCAGCTCAGCCAGGGCTCTGGTCACTCTCATCATCCCCCATCATGGGAACAGAGGAGAACAGGAGCTTGGAGAAGATGTATGGACACAACAGTGTGGGAGGAACACTGGAAAAACAAGGCAGCTGAGCAGGGGAAAGAGGGTGGGGAGCTGTAAAACCTGGGGGAGCCTGCAGAAGGAAAACCCCTTCAAACCTGAAAACCAGAGACAGCGCCTCAGACATGGGTAAGTCTGCAGGCAAAATGCAGCCAGCAGGGCTGAGGGGGTCCAGACACACTTCTCCTGGGCTCTGCTGCAGCTTCCACGTGGCCAGGTTGGGAACAGGACTCCAAAGTGGGCAAGGCTCTGTCTGATCCGTGTGGCTGTTCCAAAGGAGCCAGGAGTGTCCCTGCTGTTCGGGGAAGAGCCCCGCGATGAACCAGCCAAAAGAGAGGCATCAAAGGGAACAGAACTGGTACCCCAGGTTATTAATCACTGCTCAGTTCCAGCCCTCTGGAATTGCACCTGTACTCACGGACAGTCTCATGCACTTGGCACACTTGGAGGGCAGAGGTGATTTATTTCTGTCCCTGCTCTCCAGCACAATCCTCCAGAGAATCGGATCTCACAGACACCCGGATCGATATGGTCTGGCCACAGATTGCAAAGAGAGCAAGAGCAGGCTGAGGAATACAAACCAAGCACAGAGGAAGAGGATTCCAGTCAGCTCTAGAAGGAGCAAAGACTTCACACGAACCAAGAAATACAGATAATTTCCATATGGCCCTATGGAAGATCACCGTGTGCTTCCTCCCAAACATTTCAATTTTATTTTGCTTTTTAGTGTCTCAGGAATCACACTTTCCACTATGAAAATTCTCCTATTCAAAATAGCTTAACTACATATCTGAGTGCCAGAGTAACTCTGAGTATCTGAGCAACTCCTGCGAGTGAATCTGCTGCAAGTAAAACTCATTTCTCAGCTACTTCAATGTTTACCATGAAAATCAGAAGATTTTTAGATTTTTAGGAGGAGGTGCTGAGTGCAGGGCAGCACACCTGAGAGATACATCAAGAACTTTAATTACTTTTAATTTTATGCCATTTAAAAATGTATTGACAGCAGGGCAGCCCCTTCCCTGCCTACAGACTCATCTCTAACCTCAGGATCAGGCAGCGTTAGCTGTCAGCTGCATCCCTGAATCCACACCAGTGCCAGGCTCCCAGGAGTTAACAAGGAGTCAAAACTCCCCCTCAAGGGAACATGGGAACACACAAGACATGCAATCGCCCTTCCAGGCTCTTGACTATTTTAAGCACAAGAGATACAGAACTTCCCAGGCAATGGCTTGTTCTGTACGAGTCTGGCAGGGCTGCACCGCTCACGCGTGTCCAGCACTGGGATGTCACCACGAGCAGGAGCTGGCATCCCCTGATGCCACCAGCATCATCTCTCAGCCTTTAAGAGCCATATTCCAATATACACCACAGCCAGACCCAGGTTTAAACCCAGAAATCATCAGGTTTAGACCCAGAAGTCATTTTTCCACATTCCTTTGACACAAAAACCAAGCGGGAAGAAGTGTCCCCAACACGCTGCATTTTTTGGGATGACTTTGGGGATGTTCAGGAGGGGGGTAGTGCTGTGCACAGCTACCCACGGGGCAGAAAACACACCCCTGGGGCAAAAAACACACCCCTGGACAGCAGACTAATGGATGAGAAGGGATTCAATGGAAAACAATCCAATGCAGTTGTCAGCCTCCTCCAGCACCACCAACTGCGCCATCCGGGAAAGGACGGGGGCACAATCTGCTGGTCATCCATATGGATGTCTTCCCTTTCTCCTTCAACAGGATCTCAAACGAGGTCAAGCACACACACTCAGACTTGTTTCCTGACAAATTTATAACTAAAAAGGTGGAACTAATAACTGCAAGAGCCCCGAGCTGGTATCATGGACTTATTTAGGCAAAAGAGCTGGCTGACTCCAGCCATTCCCATCTAAGCAAGGTAATAGGGAGAAATCCCTCACTCCCTGCAAAAATGTAAATCCCAGCTCAGTGAGGCACTTAAGCACATGCCTAATGCAAAGCTGGAAATAAATCCTGCTAATAACCGGGCTGCTCACTTATTCACAGCCAGGCACGGCTTAAGCACCTGGAGGAGCTGGAAACACCCCCGAGCCCCCGGAAAAGAGCCTAAACCAGACTGGTCTGGGAATTAATCACAGCAGCATGAGCAGAACTGTTAATATGAACTGGAGGAGGACTGTGTGTGTGTGTGTGTGTGTGTGTGAGTGTGTGCTGAAGCATCTGTTCAAGTTTAGGCATATAAAACATTTTTCAGCCCAATGACTCCAGAGGGAAATGCCTCATACATCAGCTCATCTGACTCAATTTTTCCATCACATTTCCCTTAATACAGTTTTGTCCATAAATACACTATTTGTTTCTTCCAAATATAGATCTTTATTTATAGCCAAAAAACCCTGTAACTTGTGTTATTGCTTAAAGCCCTGGGTTCTGCTTTGAGATGGAATCAGGTTCTCCTTTGAAATGGAATCACTAAGGAATTATTTTCCAGTACTGAGGTATGAAACCGAGTTCTCTACATTTGCAGAAGGAAAAGGGTTTTCTTTTTGCTCCAATATTTACCACTCTCACTGTTTCCTTCACCAGAAATCACCAGTAAAATCTAACTGCTCAGCCACACGTTGCATATGGCATTTATCCCACACCACATCCAGGAACTTTCACCTTAAATCCTCATGAAAAAAACCCCACAAGTTTTTAAGAATCCCAACCAGATCTTCCAGCCAGTCCCAAATTTGAGGAGAACTGTGTGTCACTACCCGAGCAGTGATAATTCATATTTATGGTATGAGGTCAGAAAAGGAAATGTAACGTTGCCCTTTCCCCTCCAAGGAACATTTGGAAGATAAATTCCTTTTTGTGGTTTTTAACTGAAAGCGAACTATCTCCCAAAACCAGGACCAAGAACGGGCAGTGAACGGGTAATTTGGTGATTCTGACATTTTAAAAGTAGGGGGTTTTTTGGAGGCAGAATTTAGGCATCGAGCAGCACCAAACACAGCAAGTGAAATGTGATTTAATACAATTTGACCATTATTAATCACAACTTGAGTAAAAAAAAAAAGAAAAGCACAGCACATTATTCCATGGCACAAGCACAGGACAGTGGAATTGCACTCCTGCTGCTCGTGGGAAGTGCAGAGATCAGCTGGAAGGACTGATAATGCCATGGGGTTCTGCAATAAAACCTTCATTCCCTCCCAAACAGGGCACACAGCCACCCGTGGGGGCCCAGGGACCAGATTTTGGGGGCTCATCCACAATTCAGCGAGTCTCCCTACCCGGTGGGCAGGA